GCTACTTAGATACCTATTTAAAGTTAAAGTTACGAACAGTGATAGGTCTGAAGTCTATAAAAAGGGTGCGTGTACTTATGTACGCGCGTAAGACGTTATACTTTATTTTTATTAAATTTATTTCTTTTCTTTTTAATTTAAATTTTAATCAATTTAAAAAAAAATCGATTAAACAACATCCTCAAACCACGCATATTGGACATCCCTTTTCTTGACATCGTATAAATTCGGTAATTCTCGGTACGGTTCGGAAAGTTCACCTGCGGCTATGTTCAGACTCGCCAAATTACGTCGGTCGTATTTTAATGAGCGATTTAGTGGGCAACTTCATTCTGTTAATTTTGTGTCACGGTGCGCGCGCATCGTAAAATTTCACTCTCATCAATTTTTCATAACGCGCCTAAAGAAGTATGGCACTACGTACCTTACTTAAAGCTTACCTAGTTACGTACCTACCCACATACCTGCGAATGTACTTAGCTACTTAGATACATTTTTCATTATTTAAATGCGACCACCCACCCTGAGATGCAAGGCGATAATATCAACAATATTTTAATGCTCCTCAAACTAGAGTCCCTGAGTGTTCGCTGAAGTGAAATTATAAGTTTGAACATTGTTATGCTTCTATTGTCAAAGACTATTATTTCTATAATAACAGATTTCGCCAAGACTAAAGACAAATAATGTTAAAGACAAACAATAATAATCTATTCTCAATTTGACTACAAACTTTAAACAATAACAAAAGTTTGACAATAAACACAATATATTTATTAATATGTGTGTTGTGTCAAATATGTGGCAGTGTATGTAATAATTTTTTTTCATTGATTTAATGTATTTTCTATGCATATTTTTTTTTTAAATTAACATTCTGCACTCCTTCTCTATATTCTCTACAAGTGTAGGAAATTTCATACTCCTCCGTCCGCGCGATTTTCGTAAAAAGGGGTAATATATAGATATCGGTACGTGGGAGCTAAACCGCCTGTTGGATGCTGTTTCACACTGTGCTTACCCGACCATCTCTTTGCTTTTCTGTCATTGACTCGCTTCCTCTCCACCTATACACGTATGTTTATCTGTCTCTGGTTACTATAACACTTCTTCTTATCAGTCGTATGCGCTCTTGGCAGAGTGGTCGTCGCCTTCACAAGACGTCGCCATTTCTTGTGCACTCGTTAACGGAAGCATTCAGAGCAGCCTTTGGTTGGGTAATGATTGGATTTTTACTGGTGGTAGGACCTCTTTTGAGTCCGCAGGGGTAGATACCACCACCCTGCTTATTTCTGCCGTGAAGCAGTAATGCGTTTCGGTTTGAAGGGCAGGGCAGCCGTTGTAACTATACTAAGACCTAAGAATTCATATCTCATTCATGTCTATGGTCTCCAGTAACCACTTAACACCAGGTGGGCTACGAGCTATAAAAAACAAAACAATGAGTCTCCTAAATTGAGTCCGGATGACCGTGCGTGATTTGTGTCCAGTTATTATTATTGACAGGTAGTCTCTATTCGTAATGATGCAAGCAGCCTCACTAGAGACTCCTCGGATCTCTCCAAGCCTTTTCGTCACTCTGAAACACTCGTCAAAGGGTTAATGCGACGGTTTTTAATGTCCACTGCGGAATTTATTTCACTGAACCGCCCCGTTTTAACGTACCGTCGTCAAAAAAGAAACGGGAAAAATTATAGAAAAAATTAAATGTTTTTGACACACGTTTCAATGGTTTTGTGTGAATCACTTCAAAAGGTTTTCATAATTTTTGTGGCCTAATTATTTTCGTTTTTTTCACATTTTCGCTAAAAGAGCTTTAAAATATAATATTATAATTAAAAATTTCGTTATTTTGTTAATACTAAACTATGCGAAATTGAGATTAGAACTGTTGAAGCAAAGATTCAGAAATAAAATTTAGAGCTTTTTTTAGTGGCCGCGGGCCATTTGACTTAGAGAAGACATAACAAACTGTGCCTCTGACACTTGCCTGTGACAATGTGCCTCTGTATATTTATATTTACTTAAATTTATATTTCTGCCGCAAAGCAGTAATGCGTTCCCGTTTCAAGGGTGGGGCAACCTTGCACTATAGAACTGAGACACAATATACATTTTATAGCGGGTGGTGGCATTTACGCAGATGATGTCTATGGGCTCCGGTAACCACGTAACACCAGGTGGGCCGTAAGCTCGTTCACCTGTATAAAGCATTAAAAAAGACCGTTTTTCAGCTTCACCAATGTAACGGCACTTACGAAAAATGCACTTTCGGTATAGACAGCTTTTTGAAGAAGCTTTGATCATTTAACATAACCAATGCGTTTTACAAAATTATATGTTCATTTTATATGAGTTTGTTTTACTGACAGTAATGTAGAGTAGAGCAGATGTCATCCTACACAAAAAGGGTACCCTCTCGCATTAAGCTCTATTTACAAAATCGACCGCGCCCTGCTACGGAGCTACGTCGTAGCATCCACGTAGCCTCTACTGCGTAGCTACGAAATATTACGAACTATCACATCTTAACGCGATTAACTGGTGGCGTAGAAGCCTTGTACATGTCATTATTCAATAGCTAATGAGGTTGAAGTCTCAACTGTATTATACGACAGTGAGAGAGAGAGAAAGAAAAAGAAAGAGAGAGAGAACATACTTTATTGCACACCAAAACACAATTAACATTTAGTCAACAAGCAGAGTTGTACAATTAGCGGTCTTATCGCTAAAAGCGATCTCTTCCAGTCGAGCGTTTCATTTACAGATATTTTGAAAAGATTAAGATACAGCTGGTATATATGTTGCGGTGTATTATTAATAATACATTATTAACGGAAATACATACATACAATAAATAGATATATATACCGTTTACATATAGAAATCACTATGTGATTTATATGCCAATATACATACTTACATGCACATAATAAATCAACAGCACGGAAATGATAAAGCATATACAAACAAACAATACTAAGCGGATAAGTAATGCTCCTTCATCATTCTCTTAAAGCAGGTTAAAGTTGGAGTGTATGTTGTGTTTATATCCATCCAGTGTGCTTTGTAAAATTGACCTTATAAAAGTCCTCGTTGTTATTTCCCTTACGTCCGAACCGCACTTCAATCTTTTTGACACTGGTCATCTGGGTTATATGAGCAAAGCTATAGAAAGCCTACATTATCAACAACATTTAAGTTTAGGGGCTTCTGCTATAAGATGTCGCTAGTTTCCATACAAAAAAAAATATTTGTCTTAAAGTACTGAGACTAGAATGAATTAATGATTTTGCAAAAAGCCTATACCCAATCGCATTCACCTCCGATTTCAGCAAGACAATGAACATTGTACACACTATTAGTTGACGGGCTCTCAACACAGATAAGTTCGCGATATTTCGACGTTAATTACAGCGCCACACATAGATAGATATAGATAAGCAACTCAAGAGCTTAACAAAAATGTTTACGGGCGTCGGCCACTAGATGGCTTCGCTTCGATTAGTTTCTCATTGCTCCTGTTACTGTAGATGGCAGTAACATACTACTTATCCTATATTTTATTATTAATGAAAAATTTTAAAAAATTTCAGAAATCACAAATTGATTAAGCTTCGTCAATTTGTCTATAACAAATAAAGGCTTGTATGATTTATTAATTTTTTTATTTGCTGTCTTTAATTATACAATAATGAAATGCCTTAATTTTAACAACATATAAATTTGGGGGTATCCGCTACAAGATGTCGCTAGTTTCCATACAAAAACAATATTTGTCTTAAAGTGTTGCAGTTTTAGAGCCCTGGCGCCATGGTCAACTACAGACTGAGACTGCCAGTAGGAGGTTGAGACCAAAAAAATCTGCCTACCCTCTTTCTAGTTCATTTTTGGATGTCACCACTCACCACATACCCGACGACTCGCCCTGACAAAATACACGAACGCTATCCAGAATTTATCTCTCAAACTTTGAGAACCAATCGTTTTTTTAATAAACTTAATACCGTATTCGATCCAATTGCTAAACTTCTAGTTTAGAACCATTTACGAGTATATAGTAGTGTGTACAATGTAGACGCCGGCGAAAATTTAAAACGTCTCAAGACAATGATCGTTTAAAGCAAAATTGACGGTTACATTGACAGTGTTAATTTATTAGGGTAAACTGCACGATAATTGGCACGTCTCTAACGTATCTTGATTTATTTCTATTACACGCTCTCGAGTGTAACACTATTCTAATAAAACATCTATATTTCATTATTTAATTAATACATAGCATTGTCCTCTGTAAATTTTTTTAGTCAAAACGACTATAATTATTTTAAAAATGTATTATTCCGGAAATTACTAGTGGTAGGACCTCTTGTGAGTCCGCGCGGGTGGGTACCACCGCCCTGCCTGTTTCTGCCGTGAAGCAGTAATGCGTTTCGGTTTGAAGGGTGGGGCAGCCGTTGTAGCCTATACTGAGATCTTAGATCTTATATCTCAAGGCGGGTGGCGCATTTACGTTGTAGATGTCTATGGGCTCCAGTAACCACTTAACACTAGGTGGGCTGTGAGCTCGTCCAACTATCTAAGCAATAAAAAAAAAAAAATCCATATATTATTCTGATCCTTACAGTTATGTAGTCACAAATGACTGAGGTATATTAATTGCTAATAATATAAGGATATTAAAAAAAGCGACGACATTAAACCGTAAAAGCATTTTTAAATGTGTCTGCGACTCGTGAAAACCAAAGAATATACTAGAAGTATCCTTCTGATTTTTATATTAAGTTACTGATGACATCCCTCCACTTACTTATTTTTAATAAGCTAGTATCCGACATCCGTGTAAATAGATCCGTGGCAATCATATTAATATGCGCATTCAAAATCAGAGAGGCAATCTTGTTTTTACAACAACAAAAATCTGCATCAATAGTATATTCGTGTTTCGGCTCTGTAGATTTGTGTCCGAAATAAAGAATAATTTTTATTATTTATTTGCGTTGATAAATAATGAAATTGTAATGTGGTTTACCCTAAAGTTGTTTTAGAATTATTGATTGCGCTCACAAAATAAAACCGTTAATCTTGCTTCAAATTTCAATAGACACATTTCAATAACTAACTTAACGCATCATTTTCAGTTAAAATAAACCGCTAAAAGATAAAAAAAAAAACAAACAAAACGTAAGCTATAATAATATGTGACCATATAAAATATCGATTAGAACAATAAGATGATTTAAACGGGATAATAAAATCGAGGAACTCGAAATAAAAAAAGCTCAAAAATTTTAAATACGCGAGATGAAATCGGCTTGAACAGTCGCTAAACTGTGAATTAAAATGTTTTAAATTCGTACGTACGTATATCAACTGTGTTGTGTTTGCAAAATGCTAACAATGTCCGCGCTAATGATGCCCACACCCACAATGACGACGATGACGAACGCCGGCCCGATCCCCGTAGCCACCACGGCCAAGCTGGAGCCGGCCAAGCTATTGCAACTGCCGCACCCAGCTCTGATGCAGCAGCTCCCACAGCAATCCCAGCACCACCACCAAGCCCAGCACCCTAATAATAAACTCGGTAAGTACACGGAACTTTGAAAGCATTTTCAATCGAAATGTATATATAAGGCCATAAATTCCAAATATATTACTAATCAGAAAACTTCAGGATATTTTCTTAGTTTTTATATTTTTATTTTCTGACAATTACATTACTACAGTATCCATGTTTAAAGTTAAAAATTTCTTTAACTTCACTGTCGGGTGCGTGTTTTTAGCATAACTATTCAGAATGGAAATTCTCTCAATGACATAATATCCTCAAAATTGTCACAGGATAGAACGTTATCAAAGTCATTAAATTACTTATTAATTGAATACAATCAGAAAGCAAGAAACAACACATGCAAAAGAGGAATACACCAGACTAATTTTAATGTACACTTATATATAAACTAGCCGTACTCGCCCGCTTCGCTGGGCATTTCAAATTAACATTATTATTTATTGTCATTATTATTAGGAAGTCCAACACTCATATAAAGTCTATCCATTAAGTACATGTATTTTCTACATGGATACCAAGTTTCAAGTCAATCGGATGCATGGTTCAATAGTTATAACGGAACATCCGTAAAAACCGCTGTAGATTTATATATTAGTATAGATATCACAAATTAATAAAAATGTGTGCAATTCACACGTGGTAGAAGTGAAACCTTCCAAAATTAAAATACAATTATCCTAAACGTCTTAAGTATATGTAAAATTTTGTCATTAGTAAACAATTTTAAGGTAGCGCCCTCTGTGAATTGATATTTTAATTTCACGTATAATCCTAAATTAAAATTCACTACAAGAGCTTTCATACACACGTTAGTATTAAAAAATCTCACAGATGGCGCTGTATTAAATAGTATGTATATTTCTGTCTCATTCTTTGCTGGCTTCATCCTACATATTTTTGTATTTGTGTCTCTTACCTGTCGTTTTTTCCGTTNCACTACAAGAGCTTTCATACACACGTTAGTATTAAAAAATCTCACAGATGGCGCTGTATTAAATAGTATGTATATTTCTGTCTCATTCTTTGCTGGCTTCATCCTACATATTTTTGTATTTGTGTCTCTTACCTGTCGTTTTTTCCGTTGCATCCGGTTTGAAATCACAACGATTCTAAAGAAGTTTTCACTTCAAAAATCAGTTGTGCTATACATCACCGGCACATGGCCCCGCACCATTTATTACACACAACTATAACCAATCGGCTCGTTCGGATATCTATCCACTTAAAATATATTGTACATCATAAATCACCCCTAATTCCGTACTTCAGTTAAACACATATTCGAGTTACCACTGAATACCATCTCCTTCGTATATTATATCACTATAATAACATCAATTAAAATAAATATTATATATAACATGATAATTACGTTATAAATTTTGTACTTTGTTATTTGAACGTTATTCACATATTGTAGTAACACGAGAAATTAATTAACCCATCATTAATTGTCGAAGCCTGAATTTTGCCAGCGGTAGTTTTTTTAGCAATGTTATTTTAGATTTTTAAATATTTTTGATTACGGTTAGCGGTTTTTTTTTATGTAGGGATATCAGATCCGTCGATCAGCATAGACAAAGAGTTGAAATACGTCAGCAATTAATTAAAATCATGGGTAATTCTTTACGAATAAATTCTTTACATAAACTTTAAGTTACCAAATACAAAAGCAACCGTAAGAACGTCGTGAATCATTTTACTGCCAACAATAACTGTTCATCATTTCCCCCCATGAAAGCTTAAACAATTGAGACATAAACCATAAAAATAAAGGTATTGTAATCCATTGGATTCTTAAAAAAGTGTATTCGTTGCGCGTTGCAGCAATCGTTCGTGTACCTGTTACAATGAAATGGCCCATAAAAATATTATTATACTATATATATTAGTACCGTTGCTTGTCGGCTATCTCTATACCATACGAAAAATTCTCTCTGTATAGAAGTGGTTTTTCACGAGATACTCGTGAGATTGTGAGACTCGTGAGATAGTGAGAAGTTGCGAATGTTGTTAAGATGCAATTGTCTTATTTGTTAACTAGCGACCCGCCCTCGCTTCGCTTCGGAAACATTAAAACACACATGAAACAAAAAAAAAATAAAAAAAAAATAAAAAAAAGTAGCCTATGTTCATCAGGGACAATGTCGGCTTCTAATGGAAAAAGAATTTTTCAAATCGGTCCAGTAGTTTCGGAGCCTATTCGAAACAAACAAACAAACAAATCTTTCCTCTTTATAATATTAGTATAGATGACGACTGTATATCTATAGTATATTTGGACAATGTACTGACTGCGTGCATTTTTTTGATGTGAAACATCTATAGCCGCACGTAAAACCGATTTCTGGCGTGGCGACGCATGCCGTGGCGACGCGTCACCATGCGCAATCGACTGTGCGATTCTCTCCCATTCGATCAGGCGTCAAGCCATCTCTCTCGCTACACTGAGCTCGGATACCTATAGTGTATACTCCGTAGTGTATACAGTGTTGTTTACTACAGTACACATAACCTGTGTTTTACTTGAAAACAATTTATTTTTTCGTAATATTTTATTTTATCATTATGACATATTTAGTTCCTATCACAATCTATTCTTTTCTGCATATTACTTTTACAAAATAATGTCGATGTTTCACATCTGCCAGGCGTCCCGTGACGGCTCACATTTTTTTGCTTGAGCCTATATCAGCGTCGCCTTGACTAGGAGGTGAGCTCACGGGGCTCAAACCTGAAGACGTTGCTAACACGAACCCTAGCAAGAGCCGTGCTTCGCAGAATCTACCACCGAATCGGAAACGCGACCCAACTGAGAAGATCCGGCGAGAAACTCAGTGAGTGGGCGCGAGTTCTTCTAAGTAACTATCCCGTTTTTTATTTCGGGCGTCGCTTAGGCGGGATTTGTCTTCCCGTTGTAGACGACGCATCCGAATCCGGTTTGTTTCCGTGGGATATCGATCGTGGGCCCGGATTGCCGCGACTGACTCTTAAGAGATCCCTAAGCTCGGGGGAAATCAAATCAAAGCAAATAAAAAATAAAAAAATTCAACATAAATGAAAGTACATACTTGTTGAACGTCAAAAGAACTACCGCCAATTCACAAAAACTAGCCTCCGTCCTTAGAAGAATTGGCAAGGAACTCAGCGGACATGTCTTTTTTTTTTAAATATTAGTTTTTTTTTAAATCTTAGATTCTTTTTAAATATTCATTTTTACAATTAGTATTATAACGTAACAATTATTACAATATTGAAATGCCCGGAGCGAGCAACTCATTCCCACTTTGTGCAATCTTCTAGAAAGTCTGATGCGGTGGAAGCAATCCTTCACATCGACTTGTATTTTTTTTTTATTGCTTAGATGGGTGGACGAGCTCACAGCCCAGTGGTTACTGGAGCCCATGGACATCTACAACGTAAATGCGCCACCCACCTTGAGATCATTGTGGACACGACCTGGACACGGCGGAGCATACGCTCGCTGTCTGCCCCGCTTGGGAGGTGCAGCGCCGTGTCCTGGTCGCAAAGATAGGACCTGACTTGTCGCTGCCTGGCGTCGTGGCGTCGATGCTTGGCGGCGATGAGTCATGGAAGGCTATGCTCGACTTCTGCGAGTGCACCATCTCGCAGAAGGAGGCGGCGGGGCGAGTCAGGCAAAGCTCTCCTCACTACGCAGAAACCCGCCGCCGCCGAGCAGGGTCCGGGGTCGTATCCGTGACCTGGCCCCCTAAGAGCTAGGGGTCCCACCCGTTTTGTGCGGGGAGAGACCCAGACGTGGGGTGGCGTGCTTTGCACGCTCACCCGCAGTAGGAAGCCGGGTGATGGTAGACCGCGTTCCCCTGACCGCTCTGGGGGAAGGTGTAACGCGTCGCCATCAA